CGGTACATTCCGGTCACGATCGACATGCTCATTATCAGGGTTGCATTGCATTCTCGATAGGAAAGTGGCCAGCGCCGAGTTTTAAAGAAAAGAAGCGCACGCATGCCTGATGACGATTATTGTTGCGGGACAAAAAGACACCCTTTTTACTCGGTATTTTTTTAGAGTGTAGCGCTAATACAGCGTGAACGCATCTGACTCTAAGCGGCAAGTACAACTACGAGTTGCGGATAAGTTCATTTTAGCTGGGAGGTTACGTTAGGCGGCGTTTGTTGAACGACCAGCTACAGCGAAACACCTTTGTACCATAATAACTCACAAATTAACGTCGTCATGCTGAATAGAGCACCGTGGAGAGGTCGTACGTGGTGCGTGCGACTTCGTGCGTGATTTGCTGCTGCTGTTTGGTGTTTGTTTGTTGTATGCAGCGTGTCGACATATTAAACGGTAATTGTGGTCTCCGTTGGCACATCGGCAGCAGGACGCTAAACGGCTCACGGTGAATATTCGTTGATAGCAGCTCTCATGCCGCTCTGCCGCAATAGTATACAGCACGTACGGGGTTCGCACAACTGACGACGACAACAACCACAACGAGAAACGCCTTTACGAAGCAACAGTGGCTCACAGCTAACTAGCACGTCCAAAGTACTCAGCGTGGACAGCCTATCACGGGGAAAGTTTTTTTTTTTTTGCGAGGTATGTTAATGGCAGATCCATATCACTTCACGTGTCCCCGATAGACGTGAACGAAGGCGTTGGTAGTCTTGGGCTGTGATTGTGCGTGATTTGCTTTCAATAAGAATAGGCTGCTTGAAAGGAAAAGTAAGATATTAAGATCTCATTGTATGCTTTAACGCGAGCTCAAGGTTTAAGATAATAGTTTATGCGTGATGTCGATGAAAGGCCGCTGAGAGACAGCCAACTTGCACGTATATCAGTAGGGGTCGACATTGACTGGCAAGCGTCCCAACAGGTACTACGGTGTTCTGTAATGAAAACGTACGTTTCGAATTTTTTCCCTTCGTGGCCTGTAATAACGCACCACGTTTGTGTAAGCCAGAGCTCAAATTGAATCGCTTCTTCTTTGCACCTTCCAGGTTCCTGACAGATAAAATTCATTTCCCCGGCCAATGCTTCCTCGGAAGGACCATTCTGGGCTCATGCAGTCACTCTTCTGTAAAAATGGACGCACGTGTAAGTGGTTTTCATACATCGAGGGAACAAGTTAACTTGGTGTGTATCCAAAAAAAAAAAAGCGACAGGATGGAAAAGTTGGAAGCTTGGGAGAAAAGAAAATATTTAAAAAGCTGGTTGTGCTACCTGGACTTGTGGTACCATGACCCAGCTAAACACGAGTTTAGAGTTGGTAATACGTCAGATTATTCTAATAAAGAAAATTTGCTTGACGCATTTCACGTAATAACACCACTGCCTATATTAGTTTCGTTTTTTTGCGAACAATGGCCCATCTTACGGCGAGACACAGTTTATGCTCGTTGTTTTACCTGAGTTTTCGGCAGTGTTTTGATTTTGCTGTTTGTGGTCAAACTGCTCCGACCTGTACTTCTCTGCCGTAGTAGCCGCTGGCAGATTATTTTCGCGGTTGCAACAACCGATTTCTCGACAAATGTTAGAATCGAGTATATACTGCGCGCAACTTAGTTCTGCTGTCCACGAGACTTGAAGGATGTGTAGCTATCTTTTCACGTTTGACTCGAATAGAGTACGCCCCGTATTTCTTCCGTACTTTTGAAAGTGCCTTAAGACACTTTTACAAAACAAAAAACCTGTAGGTGATGAACACGCGCACTAACTTTGTAATTACGAAGTGTACGTGGCCTCTGCCTGGTCTCGCCATCGTAATAGTATCAACTAAGAACAAGTACTTGTGTGTGCATTCGACAGCGCATATTATTTTGCTTGCTGTCAACGCATCAGACCCTCCAATTACCTTCAGCTTGCGCAGTTGCCTCTAGTTTTTAAGACATATTCGCCAGCGGCATGGACATATATAAATTGTCATGCATTAGGGCAGCGATATTTGAAACATGGGTTGTGGGTATTAAGTATAACAGGTAACGATGGCAGATCGAATCTGGTCATTGTAGAAAGATGCCAAGTTTAGAGAAATGGGCTTTTTTTTTTGTCGGAAAAGTACAATTCAACGGATCAAATGTTGCCACTACTTTCGGCATAATGAATCCAGCAGAACTTTCTGGTAGTCATGTCCTCATACAAACATACAAAAAAAATCTAGCTGTAAACAATGCGCAAATGATAATATCAACGCTGGGCTTGTATTCTGCTAACATTTCTTGCCATTTGATTTAGCAAAATTAGGTCTACTAGTGCCGCTGTTTGTGGATAGGGAGATACCACGAATAGTAAGGGGCGCATATTCCTGCTCTCAAAAAAAAAAAAAAGGAATGAACTAAAGATAGCCTTTCAAACAAGTTGCGCTTGCGAATCGTGATTAAAAAAAATTCCGCTAGAACAGTGATCTTGCAAATATTTGTTGGAATATAGCCATTTACGTTGCCTGTAAGTGAGGAAACACTTCACGACCAAAAGTCCACGCCGCTTACTCCGAGTGAAACGTGCAAGAGTAGAGCGATTTTGTCTCAGCTGACTGGAATAACCTATACATGTACGTTTGACAATTGCTCGTCAAAGCAACACACGCATAGTGATTTCCACACGACGGCGCTGAACATAAAAAAAGGAGAAAACTACAACGTACAGCTAGCACACAAACACTTATCGACCAAGCAAAGCGCAAAAAAAAAAAAGAGAGTGACTAATGGTGCTATGTTTGGCGCCGCAACATGTTATGCACTGAATGGACGAAATGGTGTTAGCTTCGAAATTGTGCGTGTCGTGTGCGACCGAAAATTGCCCTGAGGTGACGAGCAGCCCCGCACGAACCCGATAGCGAGGCTTATTCCTGCAGACGTGAATTGTTGTTTGGATGAGAAAACTAGGGTGAAAACATGAAGGGCCCGGCATGATGCGTAATGCTTTGAGTGATGAAATGAAAGAACCATACATAGCCATCTGCCATCTCAAATACTCCGCGTTTCAGTGCCTGGAAAGGTAATGCACACCTTGTAATTCTTGGCAGAGGTGCACATAGGTTGGGTATTCTTGTCCCGGCTAATTCTTTGTGTCAGTACATTCAGCGCTATCCCGTGCATTGGTGGGCGTTATGATGCAATCTCAATCTCTTGGTACAAAAAACGCCAACACAACTGATTCCCGCAATGACCATTTTTGTTTTGCGTGCAGTTCGTCGTACGAAAAAGCATCGCAAATACCACACATTAAACTCGTCCTCCATAACCCTTCTTATCGGCAATCTCGCACCCCAGCATTTTAATCTGTTGCCTGTTCTTTCTGTTATCACTATCATCATAGTCATGACTGTGACCTCTGCAGGCTAAAGACATCTCCCATGTTCTGCCAATAAAATCGGTCCCGTGCTCACTGTGGCCACATTATCTTATCTTATCTGCTGACCTAGCTTTCTGTCTTCACCTAGTGCGTTTGCTTCCTCTGAGAATCCTGTAGCTACCCTTAATGGCCAGTGGTTATTTTTCTTACGTGCTACATGTCCTGCCTATGCCATTTCTATATCTTGATTTCAACTAAGGTGTCCTTCACACCTGTCTGTTTACTGTAATTTTTTTAATCCCTCCTGCTGGATGACAGTAACACTTCATCCGACAACTAAAGCCAGCTTTGGTGGTGTCATCCAGTGTTATCCTACTCTTATCTCTATTTCTCACACTGACAGCTTAGTTCTGGAATATTGATTGACAAAAAAATGTAATGTCGATCTTTGATTCAATGCCATGCATCGATACTGACTTCTTGCTTCACTGATTACAGTGCGTCGTTCGGCATTGCAACAGTGCCGATTCGATCGCTTCAAACTAAACCATTAAAAGCAACTACTTGTCACGCGTGAGTTCTCTCGAAGTCATGATTAAGTTTAGTGATGACAGTACATATACAGCACCAGTAGGGAACTCCCTTGCTCGCCACGCTGGTGCACTGACTTCTAGTGCGGAAGCTTTACGATAAAGCATTTACTCTCGCATACGTCGAAAGAAAAATGTGCCAGCTCCGCAGTGGCTTCCGTGGAGTTGAGGCCGAGACAAGGTTGAGGTATATCGACGAGTTTTTTTTTAGTGTGCGTTTTAACAACCCGTACATAAAATGGCAACCTTTCTTGTCGTTTGTAAGTGAGAACAATGCGGAAAGACCACAGGACAGCCAAAAACAATTTTACGCTAGCTGTAGGCATGCCCCGTAAGGACGATGAATCATTCCTACTCTTGGTTTTCACATAATATTTCTTTTGGATTCTGCCTGGTGTATCTAAAGCGCGGACTCCCACAACGAACAGCAAGACGCTGCAGTCATAAGCCTTTAACAGCGACTAATCGTACACAAGTCGGAGTACCAGCGAGATGAAGACGAACTAAAATTACAAAGAAAGCTCCGCGACGACATTGTGGGAATTCTTGGCGCACTCCCAGATCACGCACGCCACACGCACGCTTCCGCGTTCCCGATCATACCGACAATGCATTCGTTACTTTGTGCAGCGCCGGCAAACGCACAAACGTCGGTATAGAAACTTCGAGACCACATTTTAACAACTGCTGCAGATAGTCAATCTGTGGAGTAATGTCATTCCCGGAGAATTTTTTTAACGAACCTTCCACTTCTTTGTCAAGTGGTCGTCTTGGAGAGATACCGAGTGAGGAATCGCGGTGCCATAATGAGTGTCAGGATATCCAAGACGGCAGGGAGCACACGCCGAGTAAAAGCCACGCGAATAGCGCGATTCGCTTACGTCTAAGTCGGCCGCGTCACAACCATTGACTATTTACTATAAAAATCTCTTGAAAGTGCCGGCTAGTTGGGAAACCGTTGTGCACTATACCGTTCTGTGGTGCTGACCGCGTGGTAATTTTTTATTTTTTTTTTAGAAAAGCGAAGTGCCGTGCTCGCGATTGCTGCAGAAGCTACAACATTCAATTCGTACATAAGCTGTGGTGAACAGTCACCACACATCGGCGGGTACAGTTAAGACGCCCGCCTATCACTGATAGTTCTGGGATAGCCAGGAAATGACTCACGCAGTCCACGTAGACTATATTCATCGTGAGTTCAAGAGTTCTTAAGTCAGAACTACGACTGGCGCTTCAGCTGTAGCGAATTATCGCCGCATTCACTACTTGCCACCAGTATAGTTACAATCAGCACCTGTCACCAATAGTCAAGAGGTAGTCGGAAAAACATTTCGTAACGCGCGTGGACAACTTGGCTTCGAAGTTAGGTGCAGTGGAAACTTGTGCGTTCACTCTTCAAGTTATGTTTCCTTATACTGAGCAGGTGAGAACGGTGACGGAAGTTGCGTCAGAAGGGAAGTTTGCGCCAACTAAGAGGTGCGCCAAGTCAAGTGGTAGCCTATGGTCTTCGCAGAATATTCCCGATTCGCGCATAGAAATCATTGAAAGGAAGGTGTTTTAGAGGAAGTAAAAGAGAGTAGCGAGGCAACAAGGAAAATAAACTGATCCGTGCGTCAGGGAGTACCACAAGATAGAGGCGACCGAGACTCCTCACGTGCTCGTTACCCGCGCCTTATCACAGCCAACGAAACGACGTAGGGATGAATCGTGACGCTATGAAAGAAGCCCTCGGAGTAGTCACGTGCGATGCATTTCTCTTCTGACACGTCACCTGTGAAAGAAAACAAAAAGTATTAGGCAGAGTACGTATCGCCACATTGTAAGCGTTGACGTATAATACATTGCGTTTATGCACTTTTGAGCCTCATACAGTAATACATACTATCAAAGAATCAACGTTTATTCCACATTTTTGTGCTTTAATTAGAAAGCATTGATAATTACTCAAGGGAAACATCGTTGGCTATTGTGCCGCAGCGTAAACTCTAAGTAGTAATTGGGGCTGTTAGGCAAGGACATAAAGAAACAGCATGCTTAGAACTCCCCATTGAGCTTAACAAACATGAAAAGCGAACATTGACATAGAAAGCAAACCACGCTGTGTCGTTAAAATTATCTTCATAACGATTTACTTTTGCAGCAGATCAATGTTATTCCGCCTAAAATTTAATAATATCGTTTTTTTTCTCGACCAACAAAGTCACGTAGAGATCGAATACAGTAGTAAGGACAACTAAGGTATCAGCAATACTTTGCTACGTGTGTGTCACTCGGAACGCACGATGCCGTATGTTGTTATGGCACACACTGAGATCATGGCACAATATTACCTGTATTCTTGTAGTTGTTGAGCTGAAATGGTGCAGCTTTAGAAGAACTTCTACCCAATCCTCAGTCAGAGGATGTCTAACAATGAAGACGACGAGCCAATAGCAAACGGCAACCACAAATCAAAAGTATGAATCCAGACACGGGTCGTGGAACGAGTGGAAGACATCACGGCCTGGCAGCCTGCATGGCTCAGCCCCCCTTACTCCTCACTCCATTCATGAATTAAGTTGCATTCTGAATACGGGCCCTTATTATCGACATCACTTTGTAGTCCGAAAATGCATCAGGTATACGCTCACATAAAAGAAAACCACCCATCGTAAGAAATAACAAGACCATTAATATAATAACTCTTTGTAGTCATCTGCGCTGCGCCTTGCGGAAAAATACTGGTCCGAAGCATACCAGAGTACTCCCAAATTCAGGCTTCTGCATTGTACCGGTAATGAGAAGGTGTCATGCTATGGCGAGAAAAGGATCAACTTGGTCGTCTTTGTCAAGGAACGCTGTGTTTTTTGCATGGTCCTTTGGTATTTACTCCAGGTGTCTAGAAGCTTATGGGATCCCAAGCAATATACGTTTGGTAGTAGATGACAGTGCTTATGGCCGTAGAGGTTCCTAAAACTAACAAGAAGGAACTCTGGCGCTGTGATCGTGTAGTGACCATGGGAATGATGATCAGTACGTGGATTTGCCTAGTCTTCGTGCTTGCAGTCTTCCGACTCAGTTGTGGCTTTGTTTATTTGCAGTGTTTCGATTTTGTTCCGAATGAAAGAACGAACTGTTTTGAACTTGACCCGATTTGAATTCGTAAGCTTATAAGATTAATGCGGCGAAGGAAGGAAGGGAGGAAGAACAACAAAAAAGAATACAGGGAGGTTAACCGGGCACATGCCCTGTTTGCTAAACTACGCTTGGGAAATTGGAAATGGCAGTATACAGATGAGAGAAAGAGAAAAGAGTAGGGAAAGAGAGGAGAAATTTGTCAGTACATAGGCTGGCGCGTATGCAGCGGTGGTGCTATGCAAAATACTGGAACACATCATCCACACCTTGCAAAATACTGGAACACATCATCCTGAAATATTTACCAGAGTTCGTCGAAAGTCACAACATATTACACTCTAATCAGCATGGGTTTTGTAGCAGCCTGTCGACTGTTACTCAATTAGTAGAAACGCTTCATGTCTTTGCCAAATATGTTAACAGTCACTACAAATAGATGTAATTTTTATGGACTTCTTCAAGGCCTTCGATCGTGTTTCTCGCTTCAAGCTTAAATTAAAATGTCTATTAACAGGAGGACCACTCACGCGTTGTATTGAAGATTACCTTTCAGACCGTTACCAGTATGCACAGTACAATGCCCATGCATCTGATACTGTTCCCATTTTATCTGGTGTACCACAGGGTTCTGTATTTGCCCCGATTCTCTTTTTTACTGTATATAAACGATGTAACTAAGCACGTCGACGTAAACATTAGGCTATTTGCACGTGGCTGTGCTCTGCGCCACACAGTCAAAACTGAAGATGACTAAACAAAACTCTGCAATTCTCTGTACGAAGTGGCTCAGTGGTGTTCAGACTGGCAAATGGTGTTAAATGCAGAGAGGACGGTATATGAACATATGAAAAAAGGAATCAATACTTAGCTTTCCTTACAGTATCAACGGTACCCTACTACGAAACGTTTCACAGTACAAATATTTGGGTGTCATATTAAGGAGCGACCTAAGCTGGAATGCGCACGTGCAGCGAATTTCTAAAGAAATCAATTAATGAATTGTTCCTTTTCGAACGATCGCTTACCGGTTCTACTTTTGAAACACCTTTCTTTGCCTACAGCAGTCTCATCCGACATTGGAACACGCCAGTATTGTGTGGTTTCCGCACACTGAACACAACATCGCTGCGCTTGAGCGGGTACAAAGGAAAGTTGTCTGCTTTATTTTCAATCGTTACAGGCGTAGCGATTCTCCAACAGAGCGTCTTCGGCTGGCTGGCCTCGCTACTTTGTCTAACCGAGGAAAAGTGCACAGATTGCAATTCCTGTGTTCGTTGTTGCAGAATAGTTTTAATATCAACCCTTGGTCATTTGTTACATGCAGCTCTGCCAGAGATACACGAAGCAAACACAAATTCACGTTAGAATTTCTTCCTGCTAACAACGTATTTCGCTTCTCTTTTTTTCTACGAGCCGTAAGAGACTAGGATGCCTTAGATTAATTTAGTGTTATTCAGTCTACGCTAGAGTTATTCTCTGAACTCGTGGAAGAAGCAGTCTGACGCGGACACATGTCACTCTGTTTATTGTTACTTTATTGTTTTTTTTTTGCTGTTGCTGTGGTCTGCTTGATGCAATTCCTTACTGTGTTTAAATATAGAGTGAATTTTCGTTTATGTGTTTAGATGTCTATTACAGATCGCATAATTTGCTGTTCGCATTACTTCTGTACATTAATGTATGAATTTACTCGCATTCCTGTAATAATCTCTCTGAGGGAATGGAAGTATTTGAAATAAAAAAATAAATAAATAAATAAATAAAGTTAAATGCGTTCACATAAGCCTGTAGTCCCCAGAAAGCACAAAAGGGCTTTGACTGCCTCGTGAATCGACAAAAGACGAGGACAGTGTTCCAGCAGCATCTACACAGAGTGGTCGATTGTGCGATTGTCGAAACGCATCAGAAAGTTTTAGTCTATTAGAGGCAAATCAAGGGCAATGGCAAAGCAGATGGTCGATGCCTCCTTAGGTGCCGCAGATCTCGCATTAAGCACTCTCCGTCACTCCAATGAGGGTTGTAAATGTTTTTGTGAAGGCAACTCCTAATCAAAGCTGGCAATGAAGCGAAGCTTCAAGTGGACATCGGCGGTCCTTTCGTCTGCGTCGCGGCAGGTTAGCAGTCTCGCAATGAAGTGGGCGCGCTCGTTGTAGTTCGACGGGAGGTCAGATCTTTGGTCGCTGCCAAGCTCTCCTATACATGCGCGGGGAACCTCTTGAGAGACTTGGCAGCAATCGCGCCAGACTTGAAATCTTCGGCTCTGGCGTTTAGCATGTGCGCCGCCTCGACAGAGACCCCTCCCTTCGTAAAGTTTTGGACAACCGTCTTGGCGTCACTCACGAAAATGGTGTTCTCGTTCCTTTACGCGGTGTTCACCGCCACTACTCGTTCGAGCGTGAGTGTACCCCAGAACGACTGGCTGAGCGGTGGCGAGCCGCCCTTCTCAGCCCACGTGCAGTAGGCCAAATTTGAGCTGTCCAGCGAGGCAGGGCTATCACCGAGGACATCGCACGATGCTCCGCGAACGGCAGCTGCTGGAGGTCTAGCCCGCGCCAGTAATTACTCGTTGGATCCTTAATAAAGTTTATTACTTAAATACCTTCAAGTAGATGAAGTCCGGATGGAGGTTGAAGTTCCATTTCCAGGTTTATGGGGTGGAGTCTTTTATGTCTAATGCTTGAAGTGTTCCTCTCCAGCAGACACAGACTACGTGACAGGTGACGAAGTTGCCTTGCAGCGTCTGTCCTTGACAGAGGAATCGGAAGGGTGTGCTCTTTTTAGTGGGATGTGTGAGTCGCGTTGTCTGCGTAATCATTGTCACTGAACCCACAATGACCAGGTAGCCACTTAAAATTGACCTCGTGGCCTGTTTTTATGACGTGGGGATGAAGCTTCACAATCTCGTGTGTGAGTTGTTCGCGGTAACCTCGTCGAACAACTGACTGCATGCACTGTAAGGCCAGTTTCAAATAGGAAAACAGAGCCCATCTACTCGATCTCCGGGATGCAAAATATTCTAGGACACCACGCAGAGCCGCAAGTTTTTTCCCCGTAGACGTACTGACACGTGGCACCTTGATTCCCAGGGTTATTTTTTGAGTGGGTCTCAACACCGCACCACCTGAACCAAACGCCGTGGTTGCACCATTTGTGTATATGTGCACGTGGTTGCTATAAATTTTGTGAAAAAAGAGCAGGCTCAATTGTTGTAGTGCTGGCTAAGGCGAATTTGATTTCTTTTGCAGTCCTGGAATTTTAAGACGCACTTTTGGAAGGTTCAGGCACCACCTTCTCCACAGACGTATAACCTGACGTGAATGGTTCTCAATGCGCTCAGACAATTGCAAGAAATGCTGTAAGGGGTCTCTCAGTAACGATGCCTGCCAGTGGTTCAAAGCTCGTCAACGAGACTTGCCAATCGACTCTGGCAGAGCTGCAAGACTGTCTTATTTCATAGTTCTAAAGATCTCAGGTGATTCACATTGAGTCTGTTGTGAACTTTCGGGACCGATACCTATTCTATAAAACTTGCCAAGCACACACAACTTCACAAGAAAGCAGCGACCCTGTTTAAATACAGCGCCCATGAGCTGTATATACCTCCTGGTTCTTTCCTACTTCAGTAGAGTTTGCGACCCACAACTGCAAAAAGGTCCGTAAAACAGTAGCGCACCTGTCTAAATCCTGCTCGGGCAGCTGTAGCCGCATTCAGGAGTGTCCTGGTAGTCCGGGGGTGGCGGTTCCCTGAACGTCGATGTACTCCTCGCCGAAGTCCGCCTGGGACGAATAGTCCAGTGGCACTGGACTGGCCGCAACCGCCTGCAGCTCGGGCGTGAGCCGGCTGGCGCTGCTGCTGCTGCTGCTGCCACCGCTGGTCGCGCCGCCCACGACGCCGAGGGCAGCGCCGGTGCTTGCGGTGGCCGCGACCACGGCGGCCGCGGCGTCGTACAGAGGCGCCGAGGTCACTAAGCTTGCCAGTGGAGGTGGCGGTGGCGGCGGCTTGGCCACCACGGTAGGTGGCTCGTACAATGGCGTAGCCAGACCCAAGGCTGCGTGTGGTGGGGCGGCGGCTGCTGGCAGCACGTACGGCGCTGGTGGCGCCGGGGGCAGAGCGAACGACGGCTGCATCGGACACAGAAAGGTTTTGTGGTCTTTTGTCCGCATGCATCAATTCGTTTAAAACCGCTCGGGAAGAGACATTACGTACGAAAGAGAGCGTAGAGTAGCTGCAGGCTCATCCTGTGCTTTGGATGCTCTCACTCACTCAATTATTAATTAGGTAATCACTTTTTCATTGTACAAAGAATTGTATAGGATTGCTTTTGTATTTCACGTGTAGCCGTAGTGTCCGTGTAAAAGGCACAAAGCTAAGCACCAGGGTAGGAGCTATCATGTGCCTATATCATGTAGCAAAGCGAAGGCGCAGAATGGATCATTATTTTCGATTATCTTATGTCACCTGCTCGCCTACTACACGAAAAAACAAAGGTATAAACGAACCCGTATTCTACAACGTGTTCCGGTTGCGGTGCATCACATTTTGCCGAAAAGTGTAAAGGTGCATCTTACAACTGCCCGAATCGCCAAGGGTCCCATGACGCCTCAGCGAAGGAGGGTCCAAAAATAAAGTAGGAAATTTTGGTTTTAAAGGAAATGGTCACGGATCATTCGACTCACCGAGAAGCAGTTGCTGTCGTCAGGCGACATCGTTCTCTTCGCAGACGCTCGTTAAGAAAGTCTGCCTACCGAAGCATGCTTGCAGCAAAGCCCTTTTCGGTGGAATCTACATCGTTAGCAGCGCCGAAGACAAACAACACGTGCACTGCGAATACTACACCAGAGAAGGAGACTGCGGTAGAAGCATGGGCATCACTTCCACAAATAGCTACTGTGGATCAGGTGCAAAGTGCACTGGTAGCACTACGCTCCGCATCTCGCCCAGATGAGCCCCGAGAACGTGACCGCGAAACTTTGACGATTATCAAGTCTCTCAGCGATGCAATATGCACCCTTGTAGGTAATATGAACACTCCAACAGCACGCACTGTAAGTATTAGATGCCCTGAGTCCAAGGCTTGTCAACCTTTTGTAGACACAATGGCTCGTCCGCCGCCTTCATTCCACGCGTATTGCGACGGTTTTCCAGTAGAATGCCAGAGGACTGAAATCACGGATTTCCTGTTTTCGCCGGTATGTTTTCTGCAATAGATTTCCTATATTAGTAATCTGCGGAGCAAATATATTAGAACCGATCAAGCTCTATCTACGAATACTTTACTTCATCGACTTGTGGTGAACCCAGCAAAGTAATTGTAGATATCCGCTCAGATCTAACCTGCATTCCGCAGTTGGTGCAACCCCACAACGGAAATCAGTACGTGTACCTCCGTGTTACAAAACAGAAAGTTGCCTTCACGCTTTTCGGGGTTTACAACTCTCCATCTGTTAAGCTCGACGGTGAAAGACTGCATGACATCGTGACGGCTAGATCTTGTCCCTGGATTATCACTGGTGACTTTATCTCACCACTTCCTTTGGGGTAGCATTAAAATTGATTCCAGGGGCCGGAAACTTGCTCACTTCGCCTCACGCCACCAACTTCACATTATGAATAACGGTGGTCCAACGTATATGCGTGGTTCTACTAAGAGCAGTTGTTTGGAGTTGGCGCCGGTGTCACGGCAATTCACCCAAGAAGTGCGATGGTTCACCAGTATTGATACTCATGGCAGTGACCATATTCTGACGTATTTGAAGGTCACGGGTTTAACAAATTCCTCTTTTTAGGTTCACAGAAAAGTTAATTGGTCAATGCATGAGACGAAATTGGATGAGGCATGCGAAGGTGTCAGGTGCGGCCTGGAGGAGGTAATCGGAAATGCAATGGAAGCGGTTAAGAGCACCATTACGCCAGATCAAAGCGCACAGAATTCGATGTGGAACTTGAGCGATTAGGAACAAATCGGAGGTGGGCTGAGAGGAGGCGCACTAATTCAATTCATGACCTCAGAGATGCTCGACGTTTACAAAAGAAAATCCAACGTCCAATGGACAAGCTAGAGGACCGACGGTAAAAGAAATTTTCCGAATCACTCGATCTTCGCAAATCAATGCCTCTTATATGGCGAACAGTACGTGGCCTTGGGTATAATCCGCAGCAACGACATCCACTGAGCACACTCTCTCCCCAACAAGGCCGCCTGCAAGTTGACATTGCGAAAGATTTCTGAATGAGGACTGTGAGTGATGTGGTCAAAGTGTGATATGAGGTTCTCGGCGATGCTCCTGTAGCACGTGTCCCTGAACTAAATGTGTTTTTCTTACTCGAGGAACTGAGCGCGGCCCTAGCTACCTGCAGGCGTTCATCGTCACCTGGGCCGGATGGAATTATGTATGCTGCTCTATGCCATCTCGGAGGACGGGGCTGGGACCTGCTACTGGAATGCTACAACCAGTCATGGACTGACTGTGTCGTTACTGATACGGAAATCCAGCCACTTGGTACCGATCCTCAAGCCTGGAAAATCGCCGCTTGACCTCGCATTATACTGACCTATTGCGCTGTCTAGCTGCGGGGGAAAAGTAATGGAAAGAATGGTTCTCACACGACTGCAGTGGTACCTAAAGCACTACAATATAATATCCATAGCTTATGGCTGGTTTTCGACGCGGCCGTTCTTCTATATACAATTTCATCGACTTTGTGACCTCTTTGCGACAACAGAAATTCCTCCAGCGCGTATCTGTTGCTATGTTCCTCGTCGTGAAAGGGGCCTACGACAACGTAATGCACGACGCCATTCTCGATGCCTTGGAAAATATTGCAGTCAGTGGAGAAATGTTTAAATGGATTCAGAGCTACTTATTGAAGAGATCCTTCTTCATGCACACTGAAGAAGGCCACATCATAGATCATTACACCTCTCGTGGCGTCCGATAGGGTGAAGTTCGCAGCCCTACTTTGTTTAACCTCACGAATATTTAACTTGCCCGAGTTCTGCCTCGATCAGTCAGCGTTTCTGTGTACGCCGATGACATCTGCATCTGGGCTTCGACAGTGCCGTGACCCCAGGTACAGGCAAGGCTCCAAAAAAGCAGCGCCACCAACGTCGAAGTATCTTCGTGCTCGAGGGCTGAGGAGAATTTCCCCCAAGAAATTCGCCTTAGTTGCTTTCACTCGCAAGGCGATGTTCTAGTATGCTGTTTCCATCGAGAATGTCAGAATTTTGTATACGAGATATCCATTCCTGGGCATCATCATTTACAGAGATCTTTCGTGAAGAGCACACACCTTGCACTTGAAGAAGCGGCTTAGCTCTATCACCCATGTAATGAAATTTCTCGCCGGCAAAAGGGGAACATACGTATCAGCCATGCTTGAACTGTACAGAGCGTTCTTGGGGTATTTCCGGTATAGCACACCCGCGCTTTTAAATGCCGGAAAACCAACATCCGGGTCTTTCAAAGCATTCAAGGCCAAGTTCTTCGTACATGCTTGGTATTGTCTAGGTGTGCTAAGACGGTCTCAACTATTACCATTGCCAAAGGCCACCCGATTAAGGGCTATATAACTGTCGACGTACTCCGGGCGCATATTCGCCGTATATTCATACAGCCTAACCACCACCATGCTAGCCTGCCACTAGAAAGATCGAAGGCAGAGTGCTCCAGAGTGGTGACGGCTAACCAGCATTCTATCTCCTGGAGATTCTCACCCGCAACCATACCGCGATGCCCGGAGTGGTGCCTGCAAAGACCCCCTGTACACATTCAAGTGCCGGGGATATACAAAAAAGCTAGCCTGTCATCTGCAGCCCTCAAGCAGATGTCATTGGACCTTTTGCACATTTCATATGAAAACCAAACTCATATTTATACGGATGGTTCAGTCTCGGCAAGTTTGACGGGCGCCTTTATGATTCCATATCGGTCGATCAGCGTCAAGTTGAAGACTTCACACGTCACAACATCTACGGGCTCCGAGCTCGTCGCCCTTCTAGCCGCAATTAGATTTGTTATGCGGGATTCCCTGCTAAGTGGGCTATCTCCTGTGACTCCAAGGCGGCCCTTCAATGTATGCGAAGTCTAAGACGCGGGAACTGCGATCAGATGGTATCTCAAATCAATTAAATCTGTCATCGCGCCACTAACAAAGGACATGACATAATCTTTCAATGGCTGCCTGGTCACTGTGGGATTGGTGGTAACCACCTCGCCGACAACGCTGCCCGTTGTGCCCACGATGGATCATCCACACTGCTCATACCCCTGTCAAGAGTTGATGCCGCAAAAGAACTTCGCCCCATCGCGCACAATACCACACTTATGCACTGGAATCTTTCACTGAACTCCACTCGACGCCCACAGAACCTCCCCTCATTACTCTAATTGCAGGTGCCGTCAAAGACTTAGCGACGGTATGATACAATGCTGTGTTGGTTGTGGGTCGGCGTTGCCTTCAACAATTCTTTAAGTTATCGCATTGGTATGACTGACTCGCCTAACTGTGATAACTGCCATTGTGTGGAAACTCTCGACCGTGTCCTGTGCCATTGTGCAGACTTTGAAGAAGATCGCCGGACTCTCCAGTGTGCCTTAAGGAGGCTGGATGATTGACCCTTTACTCTGGAGAAGATCTGGAGAGCGTGGCCTTCAAGTACTTCAGACCAGAAAGCCACGCGAGCTCTTCTACAATTCTTGAAGGCAACATCACTGTGCGACCGCCTGTGAAAGCTGCACTGCGTGTGGGGTGTGTGTGTTATGTGCAATGTGTCTTCTTCTCTCTTTTCCCCCCTAATTCCCCTCTTCCTTGTTTAGGGTAGCAAACTGGTCTTAGTCTATTTACCATTTCTACCTTCCTGATATTTTTTTCTTCCCTTCTCTCTACTCTGAATCTTCCCGGCACAGTGGTGAACAGAGACATTGGGGCTATTAACACAGCATTGTAATGATAGCGAGTACTCAATGGTGAAGAGAACCAATCAACTTCACGAGTCCGGCTTACCGAATGGAAATCGCTTGTCCTCAAAGGAGTGATAGTTGTAAATGAATTGGCAGATTCGACGCACAGTGTAAATCAATGATGATGCGAAGCACGAATGTGGAAGCTTGATA